GTCTCCCACAGCCGACCGCTCCAGTGTGGAACACGGGTTGTTTTCTCGTTCTCCCTCTTGTACAGCCTGGCCCTTCCAGGTGGGTCTAGGGCTGGGCTAACTGGCTGGGGAATGAGGAACAGGTGAAATTGATTTTGGCCCAAATACAAGATTGACTTTTGCTTTTAGGGATATTTCTATGCAGCTTCCATTACCAGAAAATTAGGAATCTAGTTCCTATTTTCTTGCCCATTAACTGACCGAAGGTCTGCATGGAGAGACACCAGGCAGTTGGTTTCCTAAAATGCCAGCTTCTCCCCAGATGTCTTCAAACATCAGGACAGGCACGCACCCATAAGCATGCCGCTTTGCTTTCCTGCCTCTCTATAAAACCCCTGCTGGCGTTCGGGCCCCACGTCCTGGGACATCATTTGAAGTGCTGACTAACTCCATCTGTCACATTGAAGGGCTGACTGTTCTTCCCAATCTTCTCCCCCCACTCCCCTTCCCGCCCAGGAAATGGCCAGGGACTCCGGTGGGTGGGGGCAGGGAGTGTGTTCAGCTCAGGAACACTCTGTGGCCAACCACTCAGCCACATCCTCTGTGGTCATCATCTTCTGCGAGATGTGCCTCAAATATCCTTGTATAACCAGCTGGCTTCCAAATGACAGCCATGCTAAGTAAGCTCGGAGTTAACCTATGATTAGTAATTTCCTCATGGCACAAAGGAGAATGAAAGAGTCTCTGGCTAAGGCCATGGCTTAAAAAAACAAAACAAAACCAAACCAAAAAAAACCCATACAAAAACTAAAAAAAATCTACACTTTCAGTGAAAAAAAGAAAATAGAAATTTGTCTTTATTCCAAAGCCAGAGAGCATCAGGCCACGGCCTTCTTCCTGTGCAGGAACACGGCTGCTTCACAAGGACGCGGGGAAGGAAAAGATTCACAGGAAAATATTCCCAGAGCAGTCTGCCTGCTCCACTGCTGTCACTCATGTACTGAGCCGCCCCCACCTCCCTTCCCCGTCAACACACACAGATGGATCCTGGCCTTCTAGAAATGTCTCCTCCAGGCTCCACCCTGCCTACCTTGTTCAGAAAAGAACTTAAGGGTAGTGATCTCATCATTCAGGAGTAATGAAATTCTCAGCACGCACCGAAGGTCCCACTGAGAGACACCAGGGATGCTCCTTAAGGATTCCCGGACCTAAAGCAGCAGATCTGCAGGGTGGGGCCCAGAATCTGCATGCCCAGCAGCTCCCTCCGGAGATTCTGATGCTGCTGTGTAGGGGAAGTTCACACAGAGAACCACAAGAATACAGGTATCTCTGCTGGCTGCAGGCTTCCCCCTCAAAGGGTCCCAGGAGCATTTAAAGGAAGATTACGGCTCGTCTGCTCATGATTTCCCTTGATGGGAAAATTGCAGTTTTCTTACCTGATTGTCTGCAGTATTTCAGTGTTATATAAGTCAGGGATAAAACTGTGCTCCTGGGAGTATCGAAACATTACCGGGAGGGACCCAACATGTCATTTTTACTGTGGGGACTAATGCTAGATAGGGTTGGGGATAACTTTCCCCAGTAATAAGAATGGGGTTTAGTCCATTTAGTCCTAACAGCAGGATAAGTTGTCAGTTTTATTTAACATTAAAGTCTCAAAGTTCCCATTACTCTATTCCTTCGTCTTGGGGTAGACTCTGGCCTTCAGCAGCAGCTGCTTCTTCTTCTTCTTCTTCTTCTTCTTCTTCTTCTTCTTCTTCTTCTTAACCCTCACTTGAGGATATGTTTATTGATTTTAGAGAGGGTGGGAAAACATCAATGTGAGAGAGAAATGTGGATTGGTCGCCTCCTGTACCCACCCCAACTGGGATCAAACCCACAACTTAGGTAAGTGCCCTGGCTGGGAATTGAACCTGCAATCCCTTGATGCATGGGATGACCCTCCAACCTATTGAGCCACCCAGTCAGGGCTGGCCTTCTCCTTCTTCATTTCCAGGGCAAGGGAATCTGGAAAACTAGCTTTGCCGTAAAGCTGGAAAATAAAACCAGGTCTCTCCAGCCCTCTGCCAGCCTCTCTTGAGGACCTTGCCCAAGCGTCCCCTCCAAAAACCCCTTTCTATATGTGTGCCTCAATAAATCGCAGCTGTGCCAAAGGGGAGACTCAGGCTGGTTTATACAGTGTGCCAAGACCCCAAGATACAAAGCGCTCAAAATGCCCACCGTGAGCAAAGCAAACACAGCACAGGCAGCAGCTGTTCCCCGAAGACCTCACTGGGCGGTGAAACAAGCACTCGCTTTCTTTTTTGTGAAATTTAGCACCGGAAGTCTGAAACGGCAGCACACAGGTGTAGGAATTCAATCACCTTCCTTTCTCAAAGGCAACAGTGAAAATTCCCCAGATCACAAGCCACCGGAGATTCAGCAGCCCTCTTTGCTCAAAAGGCATGTCAGGCGGTGAAGGGGCGGAAAACTCACGGTCCCACTTCTCCTCAGACACAGACACACTTCTCTGCGTCAATGTGCTGTGCGACTTCAGAGCCGATGGAACTTGACCTTAAGCAACTACCTGCAGCTAAGGTTAGCCCAGATCCCAGAGCCGGCAGATCTGTCCCAGGAGGGAAAGAGATGCTCGTGACCCCGGCACTTGTGGCCTCCTTCTGCCCAGAGGCCCCGGCATGAACTGAGCTGCCCCTGTTACTGCCCCTCATAGGCCTGAATTGCCAGCAATGTTTCTCCAGCGCCTCCAATGTTCTCTCCACAGTGTGAACATCTGAGCTCGTGAAAACAGGCTGTCCAGTGCAAGCACGGTGATGACACACACCTGTTGGAAAATTCCGGTCTCTATCCTTAGAGATATATATATATATATATATATATATATATATATATATATATATATATATATATATATATATATATTGATTTCAGGGAGGAGGGAAGAGAGAGAGAGAAACATCCGTGATGAGAGAGAATCATGGATTGGTTGCCTCCTGCAAGCCTCCAATGGGGATCCAGCCCACAACCCAGGCATGTGCCCATGACTGAAATCAAACCTGGGACCTTTCAATTCGCAGGCCGACGCTCTATCCACTGAGCCAAACCGGCCAGGGCAGTCTGGCCTTCTTCTTGAGCTCAATGATGAACGAGCAAAAGGGAGGAAGGAAGGAGAGGAAGACAGAAAATAAAGGTTGAAGAAAAGCCTCAGCGATCTTTCTGCGATGCACCTGGCTCTCGCGGATGACCTGGGTTAAAAGCCCACCACCAGCCGAAACCGGTTTGGCTCAGTGGATAGAGCGCTGGCCTGCGGACTGAAGTATCCCAGGTTCGATTCCAGTCAAGGGCACGTACCTTGATTGGGGGCACATCCCCAGTACGGGGTGTGCAGGGGGCAGCTGGTCGATGTTTCTAGCTCGCTATCCCTCTTTTCCTCTCTGTAAAAAATCAATAAAATATATTTAAAAAAACAAACAAAACCCACTCAAACAAACAAAAACCACCCCCAGCCACTCTGCCCTGACACCTCGTGTGCATTCTGGCCACCGTGCCTCGTCACCTTAATGAGATGGGCTCAAGCCCCATCACTTTTCAGAAAAGACTTGGAGTCAGTGCTGCCGGGCCATGAGCTGCCTGACATAAAAAGCCCGCCTGGCCCCGCCTCTCCTTTCCCATCATCACGGGCTTCCATGGCCCCGGCAGGTGCAGCCAGACTCAGAATAAAGGTGTGCTGGTGCCTCTGCACGTGAGACGAGCGAGCTCACCGGCTCCCCTTGGTGAGGACCTGTCTGGTGAGCTGCTTGCCTAATGAGGTCTCACGTTTCAGACTCGTGACGTGCAACCCGAGCACTGAGTGAGCTGAGGCGCTCTCGGGAGGCGTCTTCTGCTGTCCGGAGTGCGAGACCGGCGGGCCGGGCCCCCGGCCACCCCGTGCAGCCCGTTAGCTGGTGCCGCCACTGCTGTCAGCCAGTAGCATCGGGCACACAACTGTTAAGAGATGAAGCAGGGACCAGTGGAGAGCTTAATGAAATTTTATTTTGAAAATATGGCAAGAGTCTAAGGCACTTCAAACATTTAAATACATATAGGGCCATGGTAAGTGTGACACGGCATCAAGGAATCCATAAATACGTGGAGAACTATGCCAGTGTTTCTCTGGAGGCACATGTAGAGCCAGTCCCTCTAAACACAATTCAACCTTTATCATCAGGTAAAAAGAGTTGTGCAATTATTAATAAAAATATGGTACTGTCCCATGTAGTTCCTCCTGTCTTTTATGACCACGGAATATAAAAGCTGAAAATACTGTGTCAGTTTTATATAGATATCTTTTATATATATAAAAAAAAAAGGCATATAATACATCCACCGAGATAAAACCAACTGAAAAAAGATTTCCTTTTGTACGTGTTATACTTTGTTGTTGTTGTTTTTTTTAAAAGAGTTCCATCCTTTCATTTTAACCCAGAAACCTACCAGCCCAGGCTCAAGTTGCTGATGATCGAAGTCATCTCAACTTGCTTTAAAATAATACAGACAGACAAAAAAAAAAACAAAAAAACAAAAACAAAAAAAAAACAACAAAACCATCCTGCAATGGAATTTCTGCAGAGCTTCCCCGTAGTTCCACACCAAAAGCAAACACACCGTGCGGGCCAGAACCTGACACTCTGCCGCCGCGGTGGTGGGGGCCGGCGGGGAGAAGGCGGAGAAGTTGCCCGCTCAGCTCAGGTCAGGTTACAGTTCCCTACGACTGTTCATAACGGAGCAGAGACTCAACAGCAGCCAAGTGTGCCCTCCGCCGAGGGAGGATGGCCGGAAGGGAGGCGGGATGTGCCCGCCGGCGATCGCTTCCTGGCTCCGCGTCCACGGTGGCAGCTCCAGCCTTCCGCCCCTTGGCCTTTTGCATTCAGTTTGCTGGTGAGCTCAGGCACAATACGCATACATTCAGTATCTGTCACCCCGGCAGGCAGGAACAGTTAGCAGCTTCGTGGTGGCATGTAAGTGGATGGGCTAGTTGTACACAATCAATCGAAAGAACCTCGGTGGGTGGGGCCGGGAGACGCCTTCCTTCCAAGCCTCGGGGTGCCCTAGAGACCAGGAAAGGGAAGAAACGGGGGTTAGTGTGCGGCCCCAGGCAGATGTGTCCTCTGTGAATATAGGAACTCGGGGTCTACATAGCTGATGAGCCGGAGACAAGAGAGGGAGCTGGGACACGGAAACACACAGGTCCACCAGCAGGAGGCGCTCAGGAGCCAGCTGAGCTCAGCAGTGCTGCGGACCAGCTGTCCTGGGAAGTCAACTTCCTGCTAAGAGTGGATTCTGGGACCACATGTTGCTATTCACATTACCTGCCGTTTACAAAAAAAAATGGCAGGAACGTGGCGATATGCATGGGTTGGCTCGGGATGTGCCATTTGAATAGTTCTGCCCAGAATAAGCCCTTCGTGTGTGGGTGAGAGAGAGTGTGTGTCCCCTGAGGACAAGCAGAGGTCCTTTCTCCGCTGTGCTAACCATTAGCACTCCTGGCCTTCTGAGAGGGGTGAAAGCGATGGCCTCTCAGGTTCCAGGCTAAAACGTCCATTGCCAGAATCCTCCAAGCACCTGTGCCTCCCCCGTCACCTCCCCGGGGAAGGGGCCCCCCTGCCTGGTGAATTTCAGCCCGCTAACCAACGCCAAATGCACAACACTGACCGGAGACTGGGCTTTGGCGAAGTTGATGTGGGCATAGAGGAGGACGGCGATGTCCTTGTGTCCTGCATCCAGAGCGATCGAGAGCGCGGTGCTGCCATCCTGAACGATGCAAAGAACAAGCCGGGTTGGATTTCTCAGACGCCCCGACAGCCAGAGGGGAAGAGGCAACAAAACAAAACCCCCTCCAGTAATGGATCCGGTCCCCCCAACTCTAGCCATGTGCCCAGTCCTTTAAAAGGGAACTCGTCCGGACCTCGACGTGCTACGCTCTACCAGGGCGAGGGCAGAGGAGGCACAGTCCGCGCGCCCTAAGGAAATCACAGTCAGCGGGACAGTCACCCGTTCCCCCGTCTTCGCCTCACCGTGGTGAGTGTACAGGCCTGCACCCCGTGGGCCCGGGACGATGTGGGCTGCCCATGGAGGATCTCATTCAACCACTGTGCCCACCAGCGGGGGACAGTAGGAGACGATGGGGATAGAAACGTATTTTAATTCCCCCCCCCCCTTGTAATTATAAATGAGCGGCAGGCATGTACCAGGGTGTGTGTTTTGCCATCCTGCAGTTTGCCTAAGATCTCTTAATGTTCCTCTTGGGGAGAGAGCTGGCCCTGCATCCCCCAGCATCCCTGCAGAAAGCTGGGAACAACATCAATGCAGAGGCACTGAGTCCTGCTGGCGTGGATCTTAGGGAGCCTTGGCTCTGCAGCTCAAGTGGTTAGAGTGACGTCCCGATATGCCAAGACCGCAGGTTTGATTCCTGGTCAGGGCACATATAAGAATCAACCAATGAACGCATAAAGAAGTGGAATAACAAGTTGATGATTCATTCTCTCTCTCTCTCCCTCCCTCCCTCCCTCCCTCCCTCCCTCCCTCCCTCCCTCCCTCCCTCCCTCTCCTTCTCTCTCCTCTCTCTCTAAGCTCAATAAAAGTAATTTTAAAAAAAGAAATGTATCTTATGGACACATGTGGAAAACACTCCATATGGGAAAGAAAAATTATCAGTAAAAAGTTTGGTTTCTATTAAAACTGCAGGGATTGAGATGGATATAAACGAGCATCAAGGCAAACAACACTATGACTGGGTTTCTGCCTAGTATTGGAATAAAGGTTCCTTTGGGTCACTGGCCACGGGAAACACTTTGCATGAAGTCTGAATCTTACGGCCCCTCCCTCCCGCTCGGCCTTCCGGGAGGCCAGCTGGGTGGCCCCCCACCCCTTTAAGGGTGAGGAAGGAGACCATTAGCTGGTGACCAGGATGTCTGGAATTCACTGTGGCTCTCGGGCCTCGCATTACCATAGCCACAAGCTGTTCTTCGTCGAAAGAGAGTAGAAGCAAAAGCCAACCAACAAGAGCCAAGAAGCACGGAACACAGTGCTCTTGAGGGGACAGGCTGGAAACGCTCCCTCCGCTCGGTGGAGGCGAGGGAATATTGCAGGGCTGCGGGTCCGCTCCTGTGCAGCCACCGGGCCGGCCAATCCCCGCACTGGCTGCTCTTCCTGCTGCCTGGGGCCCACTGGGACCTGAGGTTCATTGTGTGTGTGTGGGGGGGGGGGGGCGGGGGAGGGGAGGAGGACGGGGATTTTTTTCTCTCTTACTTTAGTGTTTCCAGTTAAGAGGAAGCTCTGGTCCCAACCAGTGCTCCACAGAGATAAACTTTTCAAAACAGGACCAACCCAGCCCCACCTCTATGACCTCTGGGCCTTTCAACCCTGTCACCACCCAAACGTTAGTTCCCACAGGAGAGGAGCAGCCTTCCTTAGGATGTTCCCAGTCCAGGGTTATCTGGGGGTGGGGGCAGCTCAGCACCTGCGCGAGATTAGACAGATGATGCTGGACCAGCCCGAGCAGGAGTGGAAGGATGTGCTGAAGGGACCCAAGGCCGGCCGGCTCTCCTGGCAGAGGAAACCTCACTCCCTGGTGACGGGCACACCTGCCTGCACTCCATTTCCTGGGGAAGTGTTTCTCCATAGTAACAATGGTTCTAGCCACCCAATAGCCCCAACCTGTAATGGCTGGTGATCCGGGTTTCCAAATGGACCGGGGACCTGGTCCTCTTGGTGGACTTAGAAGCTGCCTACATCTGATTCTGTCTTGTAAATCTGTTCATTCCCCTTTAACAGGCTGGTTCTCGTGCCTGCCCTGCACCTCCTTCCTTTAGTGAATTTTGGGGTGAGGTCTATTTATGGCTCTACTGCTGTCTTCAGTGGAGGGAGTACCAGCTGGCCCCCAATAAATACTGCCACGCTGGGCCATGAGGCAAGGGGTCTGAGTGGCGACACACATCTCCAAGGAGAACCGAGGAGGATGTGCTTTCTGGCCGCGGCCAGGCGGCACCCGCAGAGCTCCCCGCCGTGCCCCGGGGAGGCGGCCGCTCACGTGGTCCTCCAGGTGGCCGTTGCAGCCGGGCTGGGCCAGCAGCAGCTTGACGATCTCCACGTGCCCATGCTCACTGGCGCACATCAGGGCGGTGGAGCCCTCGTCGTCCTGGATGTTCACATCCGCCCCGCAGGCCAGCAGGCCCTTCACCATGTCTATCCGCCCGTGGCTGACCGCCAGCATGAGGGCCGTCTGTCCTGCCTGCGCAGAGAGACGGCAGTGAGCTTCAGGAGTGCACACCGGGCCAGCAGGGTGTGGCCTATGGGGTGGGGGTTGAGGGCTGGGCTGGGGTAAGGAGCTGGGGGAAAGGGAGATGGAATGGGGGACAGGCGGGTGTGTGATGACAGAGGGGAAGATATGGATGTGGAAGCATGCGGGGTGGAGGTAGGCATGGAGCAATCGGCTTCTCACGAGCGATGCGCTACATTAGCTAATATGTCAGTTTTCCCCTTTAGCTTGGAGGCTCTGTCTCATTATACCAAGGGGCTGGAAAGTCAGCCGATGGTCAAGCCCTTCAAACGATGAACACATCTGAGCTGGGGCACCCGGCGTGCAGACACCAGGCGCCTGGTCGAGGCGGGGACTCGCAGCCACCGATACGCAGGCTGACCTACAGCTCACGTGCTCACAACTCCAAACAGAGAGGCCGAGGACGGAGAGGTTCCCAGTGGGGGGTTCAGGCCAGTATTTCATTCAGCGTTCGCTTGTTTGGGGCTACCAGGCAGCCAAGCAGACTAGGGCGGGGCCAGTGAGGACTGAGTGCCCAGTGGCGGGGTGCGTGTGTGTGTGTGTGTGTGTGTGTGTGTGTGTGTGTGTGTGTGTGGGAAGCGTGCAGGTCAGGGCTGCACCAGCGAGTGCGGACACCAACGAGCCCGGGAAGGACGTGCACTCACCTGGCTGGCTTTGGCGTTCACGTCCCCGCAGCCAAAGAGCTCCTCCACCACCCTCATGTCCTTCTCTGCGTCCACGGCGGCCAGGGCGGCCAGCATGATGGGGGTGTAGCCCGCCTTGTTCTGGTGGTCCACGTTGCACACGTCTGCGGCGACAGGGGCCTTGTTTAGGGGGGTCATTCCTCTCCCAACGGGAACCGAGGGGATGGTGTTGGGAAGAACCCAGAGAAATGGCCTCAGGGAGGGTCCACGCACAGGAGCGACTTGGAAGGACATGGGAGGGGGTGTTTTTATATCCCACCCCTCCCTGCCTCACCACGTGGAGGAGCACTGGGGAGGACGGCAGGATGGCCCAGAATGGGGGCACCGACCAAGCACCCTGGGGGAGGGGAGGAGGGCCCCCCCACCCCCCGAGGCCACGTACCCGCGTCCAGGAGCAGCTTGACGATCTCGAAGTTGGAGTGGGACACGCTGTAGTGCAGGGCCGTGTTGCCGTTGCCGTCCGCCATGTTGATGACGTGGCGCAGGACCTCGGGGGACACGGCCGCGAAGGCCGCCAGGTAGTCCCCCACCATGGCCGGGACCGCCGACTTCTGGCTGGACACGCGGAACCACTCGTGCTGCAGGGTGTTCAGGCAGAACCGCTGCCGAAATAACCAGGCCGGGCCGTTAGCGCTTCTACTTACAGACTCCCTGGGACCCAGCCTTGTAGAGCCAAAGCCCCCGTGCCGTCAGCACGGGCTGCAGAAACGGCAGCGAAACCCAGAGCCCCGGGGGAGGCCCCCGCCTCCACACTGGGCCACCCCTCCTGCTTTTCGACTCCAACACGGTGTGACTTCCCTACGGGGCAAAGAGCCCTGTCCGGGAGTTCACCTTCCGGCTCTGCTTCTCGTGACCCTGGGGAGGACACACTCATCCTGTGCCTCAGTGTCCCCATCTGCAAAATGGGGACAGTAAGCATACCTTCCCCTCCACGGTGTGTGTGGTGGGATGATGGAGGCAATGCATGTAAAGCTCTTAGGCCTGGCTCTAGTCATTATGGAACTATGAGCGTCATGTAGTCATGCTGGCCGTGCAAACAATCCTCACAGGAATTGGGATAGAAGACATTATTCAGCCCACTTAATTATGCTGCTCAACTCCTTCCACATCTCCGCAGCACGAGGCCGGGAGACCATAAGCACGCAGCCAGCTCAGTTCCCACGCCAACGTCAAGGTCACGTTCAGCCCCGGAAAGGGAGGAAAAAGCAGGTCTGGGACAAATTACATTTCCCATGAGGATCATCTGCTTTGGCTCATCAGCCCCAACAGCCTCCCCACTTAGGGTGTGGACACACGACTTGTTCTTCATGGCTGACCAGGCCAAACCGGCACCGCGTGAAGTTCAAGGGGCACAGCCAGTGCTGGTGATGGGGATAACTACACTTTTTTTCACGGGCCCTCTTTTGTACCAGTGTACAATCCATCTGTGCTTTGCTTCTCTTTACAAGATTAAAAATGTATCAAAGAATGGTGGAAAGTCTATGTCAAAAGCAACAGAACCCAAGAAAAGTCCTCTTTCTATCGGAAGGTTGAAATTGCAGAGTTTCCGTCTCTACCTTCTTGCCACTGGTTATTAAGTTTTAGCTCCTGCAACCATATTTTTGGTCACTCATTGAAAGGAGTCCTGGCCAAGAAAGAATTCTTCTATTTCTTTTTTTTTGCTCCCTCTTTTCTTTCCCTCCCCCGCCCCTCCATTTTTTGCATATTCAGATTTCTATTTCTTTGGAGTTATAACACGGAGGGAAGGGGAATTATGACATCTGGTTGTCCTAACTCTTGTTACAGCTAAATATCCAGGGTTCTATAGGGTAACATGGCCCCTGACATTGTGACCATTTATATGTCCACTACTTTTCACAGCACAATACTTGAAACACTTTGTGCACAAGACAATATTCAATGAACAAAAATGTACCCATCACGGAATGGCAGTCTGGGGTCACAGACATGTGAAGACTTCCCTGAAGACCACATGGCCTCGTATGTTGAGGCAGATTAAAGAAAAAAATATATATTATGGCTAAAAAATCAGGGGCCTGAAAGCACCAGTTTTAAGTTCAGTTTAAACCCAGTGGGAAATAGGAAGACACTGTGGCGATGTTTCATGGTTTCGCTGTTTGTGACCAAGGTTCAGACCAGCATTTAGTGCATCACGAATAGAATTCAGCATGTCACTGTCTCCCCTCGGCCAGGAATTTTATGGAGCATTTCCTTCCGTAAACATCGCTGCCACGCTCCTTTCAGCACACTGACTGAGCGTCAGGACTTGGCTGGCTCTGATGAAGTTAAAGTCTCTATAGCAGCACACACAAATATGCGACGACTCTTTCTTTCTTTCTTTCTTTCTTTCTTTCTTTCTTTCTTTCTTTCTTTCTTTCTTTCTTTCTTTCTTTCTTTCTTCCTTCCTTCCTTCCTTCCTTCCTTCCTTCCTTCCTTCCTTCCTTCCTTCCTTCCTTCCTTCCTTTCTATTTTTTAATTTAAATACCATATACTGAGATTACGTAATTTAGTTTGGATAAAAACAAAACAAAAAGACATGAACCAGTACTGAAGTCGGGTATAAGCAGCACTAACCAGTAGCTGCCACTTAGACAAGACCTATAATCTCTGGGCCTCGGTTAAAGCAGGATGAACCAGCACGGAGGGGCCTCCTGGGCACACGCCCACACACTTCTCACGCCTGGGACGTCACCGCCAGCTCTTCCTCAGACTGTGTCTGTCGTACAAGAAGGGACTCTAGTAGTCTCTCTCCAGGGTTAGATAATTCCTCAAATCCCTCTAGCCCTAACCTTTTGGTTTTACAACTCTCTAATGCCGTGAGGCTTATCCATCGACTCTCTCGCTAGCTGCTGACTTAAGTTAACCAGCAATCAAACTTCCTATTAAATCTAATGCTAAAACGCAAAGGTTCAGCTGCGCATTACTATCTAAAACAACACACACACACACACACACACACACACACACACACACACACACACACACACACCAACTACGTTTTCTCAGCGCACTGAATAGAGCTGTCAGCACAAGGGCTGGTCTGACCGATGAAAGAAGTCGCACACCGACTTCACCAACGCCTGAGAGGGCGACAGACTTGGCAACGGGCCGGATTCACCACGGCCACGGGGACCCGGCCCTGCCCCGGGCCGTGCCCCTCGCTACAGCAACCGCCAGCCTCTCTGCTGTTTGCTTCTGCATCCCTCAGCCTGCGAGATGACGACAGGGCAGTTTATTCCTAAGTTTAAAAATAGTGGCAGCCTGCATTCCACACCAGAACATAATATGCAGTTTCATAATTAAAAGGAATGTGGGCCTTGGCCCACATACCGTTTTTTTGTTTTTGTTTTTTTTTAAACCCACACACACATGCTAATGTTAAAAAAAAAATGTCTCGGGTGCTACTCCCCGGATCACAAGGTTTCGTAAGCAGAAGCAGAGCACGCAGAAAGGTGCAGAGGGACTACCGTCAGCCCCGCCCTCCCTGTGCAAGGATGGCCCGCAGAGGCACCACCCCTGAGAAAAGGGCAGGGTCCGGGAGGATAGCTGAGGTTGGGCCTCCGGGAGCGGCTCACCGTGACCCAGGAGCGGGCGGCAGGATGCTCGGCCTGCCCACACAGGCTAGAAATAGTCTGGAGGCAACAACAGCTCGGGGGCAGGCCACAGCTGCGTGACCGCGGCGGCCGCTTGGCCCTTTGCACAGACTGGGGGCCGTGACCGTGGATGAGACTCACCATGTCCTTGCTGGTCAAAGCTTTGGGGTCATTTATGTTGTTTTTCAGTAAGTTGCATGCGGACAACATCTTTTCACTTAATTCATACCTGAAAGGGGGAGGAAGGGGATAAAAAAGAAAGGAGCTCATGATTGGCCTAAAAGAAAGGAAAGGCATTTTTCCCTCAAACTCTGTAACCCTCTAAAAGACAAGAGGCCCCACACCGGGCCAAGCTCGGGGCTCCGTGCAAGGTGCTTCCCTGGAGGTGGTCCAGGCATCCCGAGGTGGCCAAGAGCTGATGCTGTGATATGGAGCTGACGCCTCCAACCAGAGGTCACCAGAGATCACGGCTGTTCATGAGAGCAGCATGAGGCCTCACCAGTTTGGATTTTATGACATTATTGTGGAAGAACATTTGGATATTTTCCACCCTTTTTGTTCTGAGTTCTTAAAAGTATTTTTTTTATTCTTATAGAGTTGAAGAGGTCTGAACGACCACATACCCATTTCGCTGACCAGTAAACCACACGTCTGAACTCACATTTGGTGACCCAGGAATCGTTTGTTGAACCCACATGAAGTGTAAACTTAAAAATCAGAGAACGTAAGATATCTATGTACATTATATCTCAATAAAGCTGTTAAAAAAAATCAGATGGCAAGACATCCAGCCATTTGAAAATACTTGGAAAGATAAAACTAAAAATACTTACCTTGTCTTAATACAGTTAAACTTCCATTTGCCAAATTAAAAAAAAAAGGCAAGCTCTCTAAAATGTTCTATTTATTACATCACATAGTGAAAAACCACAATGAAATTTCCATCTGTTCGTTCTCTCTTGTTTTATAGGCACTGATGCTGTATTTACTAAGTCTTCAAAATTGACTACATTTTATGTGCGTGTTTCAGCCAACCAGTGTTTGCATGATATTTCAGCTGCTGTTTATGCTATTTCCAAAAACCACTCTTGTAGTGTTCCCAGTCACTCAATGCACAACCAAAAATAGACGTGTGACTGGTGACATCATCTTTACAGCAAATGTGATCTTTGGTTGAGGCCAAAAAACTGTCCCTCGCACATGTGACGATCCTGTAATAACAGTACTGAGAAGTGTATCAAGATAAATGACTAATGGTAAAATCTAAAACCTTAAAAGAAATGTGCTGGACACAAAAAACTCCTAACATGCCTTTACATACGAGGTGAGTTGTTCAAACAATGGAACCCTTAGAGGCACTTAACAGCTCTGTGGATGGTGGCTCCAAGTACACCGTTAGATAACTAATACTTAAAAGTTGAAGGAAATAAAGGTGACCAAGCACATCAAGTCGTTCTCTTTGCCACTGTAAGAGATGTAGGAGTGATCACCTTCTTCTACACTCCCACTTATCAATATCATGACAAGACGTATGCTTCTTTGCCCTAACCTGTTTGGCTCAGTGGATAGAGTGTCGGCCCGAGGACTGAAGGGTCCCAGGTTCGATTCTGGTCAAGGGCATGTGCCTTGGTTGCGGGCACAACCCCAGTAGGGGGTGTGCAGGAGGCAGCTGATTGATGTTTCTCTCCCATCAATGTTTCTGACTCTCTATCCCTCTCTCTTCCTCTCTGTAAAAAAGCAATAAAATATATTTTAAAAAAAGAAAAAAGAGGTATGCATCTCTGAGGAACAGACCAAGTTTAGCTTTCCTTTGGAGATTGGAGAGATTAATAAGCAAATAAACACCATTGCAAAATCTCCTAAATGGCCCACTCTATTGCCAGGTACATTAAACGTGGGAAGAGGGAAGGGAAGGGAGGGGAGGGGAATGTACCACACCTCTCTCTGATTTCCACCTTCTCAGGTTCACATTCTTGAACCTGCACTTCATCTTCCACCCTGGCGGACTTGCAACCTTCCACATTAACTGCTTGGTGCCCTGCCGCCATTCCCCGAGTGTCTTCGTCCTCCTCGTCCTCCTCCTCGTCCTCAGGAGGGTACTCAATGACATCACACTCGTCATCTGACTCGGAAGAAGAGCTTTCCTCTGAGCTGGAATCATCACTGGAAGTGGTCTCATACCTAGGTGGCAATTGGGAGTTCAGGAGATGCAAGGTGTGCCCATCAAGACCCAGTGACAGAAATGTCTACGAAGGGAACGCTGAGGACTGACTCCAGAAACCTCACCAGAGGTTTTAGTCCCCACACCAAGCATGTCAGACTTGCAGCCAGTGGGCTGCATGCCTTGTTTATTTCATATGCTTGCCCTATGCTGAGCAGTCCGAAGTAAGGTCTATTTAAAATCCTGGTAGTTCTTGCCGAAACCGGTTTGGCTCAGTGGACAGAGCGTCGGTCTGCGGACTGAAAGGTCCCGGGTTCGATTCCGGTCAAGGGCATGTACATTGGTTGCGGGCACATCCCCAGTAGGGGGGGTGTGCAAGAGGCATCTGGTAGATGTTTCTCTCTCATCGATGTTTCTAGCTATCTATCCCTCTCCCTTCCTCTCTGTGGAAAATCAATAAAACATATTAAAAAAATAAATAAAATAAAAGCCTGGAGTTCTGAATGGGTCTGACTTAAGAGGGATAACCTGCATTGTCAACTGGTACACATACACACACACACACACACACACACACACACACACACACACACCCCAAAGGCCCAATGCATGAAATCTGTGCAAGAGGTTTGGCCCTCACAGCCGCGGTGGCTGCCTCGGCCCTTGCAGCCTTGACTGTCCAGGAGGTCGTTCAGCTGTCCAGTCTAATTAGCATATTATACTTTTATTATTAGAGAGAGAGAAAGAGAGAGAGAGAGAGAGAGAGAGAGAGAGAGAGAGAGAGAGAACCTCTTGCTTAGTATAAATCACAGGAAACTATCATATAAGAACTAGGTCTGCAGTTGTTCATGTTTTTCTATCCTTTCAGTATAGATTGATTTCACAGTTGGAAGACCTGACAGACTTAGCTAATGACTTGTGCCAATTAGAAGAGAAGGAACAAGCAAGTAGTAAACATTCTATAGAGGAAGCAAAGGACTAACGGCAGACTGCTTTGCTCTTCGGGGGCAAGGCCCTACAACTTTGTTTGCCAACGCGGAGCGCCGAGAGAAAGCAACCCGTGTTGAAGGAGTGGGCCTCTCTCCTTGGCCACAGAGTGACGCTCTCCGCCTCTTCCTGTTAGTGTCTGAGTTCTGATACAGGGAAGTACACGCTGTCCAAACGTGCAGGGAAGCTGCTGCTTTTTAATTTTTTTTTTTTCAGATCAAAGGTGAGAAGATGTAAATGGCTCAGCTTCATCAGGTATCCTTTCAAGAGTGACAGATCCTTAAAGATAGCAAGAGGGGGAGAGGGAAGAAGCCCCGTGCCCCTTTCTTAGGTGGGAGTCTTCCGTCACCAAGACATGGCAGCATCCCAGGCTAGGCGCCTCTGAATACAACGTGAGTGTAGGCAGGAGGCAAAAGAGACAGAAAAACCACGTGTAAATGCCGGCACCACCATCTTTCCTTACCCTCCATTAATGCCAACAAACTGGAGGTTCTTCTTCGCTCCATTTGAATCTTTGCTGCCATCTTTCTTCTTCATGATGGACTTCAGTGTACTTTCGTTATTTGCACACACTGCGAAAACATAAATCCAGGCGGTAAAAATGAACCTAACTCATACCCATACAAGTTCAGGGAATAGGTCATCTTCATGTGCATTTAGTCCCCCTCCCCCACCACCCATCATTCATGTAAATATAGATCTCGGCATGTATATATGAGAAACCTGCACAAAGTCATTGGAAAATTGTGTGCATGCAAAAAAAAAAAATTTTTTTTTCAAAGTTCCATTTAATAATGTTCTTTATGGAGGAGAAAAATCATTAGCACTCCCAGACATAACAAAAGCAGCAACTAGCGTGTGCATCAGACTTCACTGTTTATAAAGTGATGTCGTGTCTCATTTGATCTTCAAAAGCCATGTAGGCACTAACATAAGGGCTGTTATTATAACTTTCCTTCAGCTGAAATAACCTGGGGGAAAATATATGCCTTCCAGACTGTGAAAGAGAGGAAACGCTGTTGAAAATATTTTCTGTTTCCTAAAATCAGGTGAGTTTTCTTAAAGGGACCACAGAGCTCTTTCTCCTCCAGCTCTTCTAGGTCCGCCCCCAGGAGCGTGAGTTTATTGGGCACAGGGACCTCAGGCTGGGACGCTGACGCCGGGAAGGGCTGGGCTGGGCAGGAGGAAGGTTACCGTAGAGGCCAGCGGCTATCTGGTCGTCAGTCAGGTTCACTGCCGACAGCGTGCTTTCCTGAGCGGGGAAGGCATCCTGGCTGCAGACAGGCTCTCCTTCTGTGCACCCCTCCTCCCGTCCCTGTCGGGGCGTCTGCGTGTTCAACGGTCCTCCTGACTGTAGGCCTCCACACCTACAGGTGTATTCCACATTACTTCCTGTCAGGAAGGAGAAGGGGGAAGAAGTGTGTGATTCTGGAACCAAACAAAATGGGCTAAGTGGTCAAAAATAAAAAGATCCTTGTAACTCATCGTTTTCTTAAGTGCTTCCCCCCAATCCCCCCCCCCCCCCCCCCCCCCGCACCCGGCAATTTCTTTTTGCATAAGTAAAACAAATGCAAACCTCCAAGGCCTTCTTGATTCTTAATCTTTTCCTTTATTAGCATATCTGAAGCTTGTCCTTCTCTCTGCTCGCTGCTACACCTCCTCGCCTTAAGCTGGGCCACCAGCATAGCGTCCTGAGGGTCCCACTTCCTCCTTTTCCCCTCCCGCCTGCCGCTGCTCAGCTCACATCCCATCGTCACCTCAGCTAAAACAGAACCTAAAAAGTTCCCCATTGCTCAGGAGACACAGAGCCAGATACTCTAGATCATCTGCAACCTGGCACCAAGGTACCCCTCCAAGTTTACTGCCCTCTGCACCTGTGGTCTTCTCTGGGACGGGGCCTGCATCCCAGCAGATGGAACTACTTCCCATACACCCTGGAGAGCTCCTCTTCCCCACCTGCACATGGCCAAGCCCTCCCATCATGTCCTCTTCGGAGCCTTCCCTCACCTCCCTGAAGAAAAATAATTTGCCTTTCTCTGAACTCTCACAGCCCATCCTTCATACCCTTACAGGATCTATAACACAAGATTCTAAGTGATTTGTGTGACTGCCTTAGACTCCCCTCTAATCTGTAAATATTTTAAGGACACCAAACAGTTCTAATCAACTTTGTTTCTTTCATCACATCTACCAGATTGCTTTTGTGCATGTTAGGTACTTCATATTTGTTCACCGACTGAAGCAGGAAAATGGGATGAAGTATTATGCAATTAATGTATATAAGGTATGCCACAGAGTTTTCAATATGGCCAACATGGGAAGATATTTACAATATATGGTTAGATGAGAAAAGCAGGTATTAAAATTCTCTGTATGGCATAATCCTATTTAAACATGTTAATATATCTACACACAAAAACAGAAAAGTTATCCGAAAGCTATGATGATTTTAACTTTTCCCTGTACTTGCCTTTATTTTTTCCTATAGTAAACACTGATTCACTGTGCTCAAAGTCACTTTTATCAAATGACTTAGCAATTTCATCTCTAGAAATTTTATACTGAAGATGTACAAAAAAAAATATAGAAGGATAATCCCTATTTCCATGGGTAAAAAATAAAAAGAGGTGAATATCACAGAGTGCCAGTAAGAAACAGATGTGGTAAGTCTGGTACATTTATACAAAGAAATTCCATGCAGCCATACAAAGTGTTGATGTAGGTGGACATTTATTAACATAGAAAGATGAGCATAATGTGTTAATGAGTTTTAAAAATAGGCTATAAAGATTAAGATTATATGAAAATAAAACTAATAAAAAAATTAATAAAAGGCTATGTAAAATAGTATAAAGAAAAAAACCTATTTTGGTAAATAATTATATTTATATGAACGCATATTAGAAAAAGTCTGGAAGGATACATAACAAACTTATTTAACACTGCTTTTATAAGACTAAAGAATTATGGGTTTTATAATCTTTTCTTCTTTGTGTCTCTATTTTCTAAACTATGCATTACAAACATAAGCTACTAATACAACCACAAAATTAAAATCTATACACAATAACATCGCATGATAAGAATTTGATCACAACATTCTTGAAAAGAAAAGCTTTGAAATCCCTTACCTTAGATCCTTAGGAGAAATTTAAGTATAAGGAGAAATATAAGTACTGATTGCATTTTGAGGCGATCGGAAGAAAAAGAAACATGATAAATCTGATCTTGTCAAACTCCATTGTCCATAGGTTCACCTGGAGTATTTGTTACAATGCTGATGCCCAGGCACTTGCTGCCAGAAAATCATTCTATTGGGCATTTCTTATCCCCTCCCTCTCCCCAACCTACACACACACACACACACACACACACACACACACACACACACTGACCCATTATTCCCAAGAGATTTTAATGCAGATGGCCCACTTTGGAAACTACTAGTTTAAAACAAGACTGTAATTAAAAAAAAAAAAAAAAAAAAAAAAAAAAAAAAAAAAAAAAGGTAGAGGGAGTAAAAATGTTCAATGTGATAGATTATGAATTCTGAAGGCCAGGAAGGTTCAGTGACTTGAAGTCCCATTTTGTAATTCTGTGAATAGCACTTTGTCCCCTAATCAAAGACACAATGTTCCCTCCTCTAGCTCTGAAGGTACCTCCTGGTAATTCCTTTACAAACCCACCTCCCTCCTCAGCACGCACATACAATACTGAATGCAGCTCTCCAAATATTATTTAGTGCCCCATAACCTGATGTGTCTCCCAGCGGCAAATATGTCTAAAATGCCTTTGATTTATTTTAGCAAATAAACAAAACAGGGGATTTATCATCATTTATCTTCATCCCTTCTCCAAGTACATTCATCATTACTTTGAAATTACTACAGTAACCTCTAAAGTCTCCATGGTAAATCTCCAAGGTCAGAACATTTCTTCCTAGAGAAACACCTTCAATAAGCATGTTCATAATTAAAAACAGCGATTTTTAACACGCAAATATACAGTAATCATTACTATTATTATTATGGAAATCTTAAACATTAAAAAGTAGGTGGTATAAGAAATCCCTGTGTTCATTCAGCGCTGGAGCAGCAGCTGGAAAGGCGCCAGAGACATTGAGGGAGAAACGGAACTGTCTGGCTTTGGGGGGAGGGTTGGAAGGGCAGCTTTCTCCCAGACAGAACCGCTGGCACAAGCCATTGTTCCTTTGCTGAACCCTCCCCCTACAGAGCTGGCAGGAGGGCACCATGTCCAAGTCTCTATTAACCTGCCTAACACTGTTATCCCTGTCTTGGTGAGACCATGGCCCACCCAACTTGTGGGCCCACCAAGCCAATTCCAGTGGCTTTTCCATACAAATTGGCCTGTCTTGGTTTATATGCTGCAGACTTTCTTAACATCTCTCAAGGGTTAAAGCAGCATCTGGCTCTGGAGTGACCCAAAGCTCTTGCTAAATTGCTCCAGGCCTGGCATGCTGGCAGCCAGCCTCAGTTCATGGTTTGGCCTTACCTGGGCACCTCCAAGCCTAGCACATGTAGTAGCCATCTGCAGATCGCTTTGTAACTCATGCCAGATGGTTCCAGGCAGGGCACAGGAAGCGGCTGACCTTGGCCTGCACCTCTTGGGAGACCAGAGACAGCGCTCCTGGTGGACAGCTCCAGACCATGCTGAAGTACCACTCTACCACCTCCATGAGCGACACATTCAAGGGGCAGACTCCAAAAGGGAGGACTAGTTGGAAGCCAGAGCTCAGCTGAAGTGAGCCCTTCTCTGTGGCATGCCAGCAGCAATCAAGGCTCAACTACAACAGGAGAATGCATACAGCCCACATGAGGTGGGGAGTTGTGGGACACAAGTGGCGTTTGTACTTAGGGTGACCAAGAAGGCTACTCCATTGGGCATATAGTTCCCATAAGACTCTTAGCTGATTCCTCAACAGTAAAACTTTACAGGCCAGAGGGGATTAGCACGAAATATTCAGAGCAACCAAGATTACTCTACCCAGCAAAGCTATCATTTAGAACGGGACAGATAAAGAACTGCTCAGACAAGAAAAAGGTAAAGGAGTTCACCACTACCAAACTAATATTACATGAAATATTAAAGGGTCTTCTTTAAGAAGAAAAAGGATAAAAATATGAATAAAATGACAATACCACCCTATCAACAATTACTTTAAATGCAAATGCATTAAATGCTCCAATCCAAAGATATATGGTGGCTGAATGGATAACAAAACAAGATCCTTACATATGCTGCCAACAAGAGACCCACTTCAGTACGAAAGACGCATGAAAACTCAAAGTAAAGAGACAGAACAAGATATTTCATAAAAATGGACACAAACAAACAAACAAACGCTGAGGTAGCAATACTTATACCAGACAAAACATACTTTAAAACAAAGGCTATAACAAGAGACAACAAAGGATCCAGCAAGTCCACTGCTGGGTATTTATCCAAAGAATCCCCAAACACTAAATCGAAAAGACATCTATATGTTCTCTGAAGCATTATTTACAATAGCCAAGATAGGTAAGCAGACTAAGTTTCCAACAATAGGTGAATGGATAAAGAAGTTGTGCATATATATAATGAAATAGGACTCAATCATAAAAAAAAAAAAGGAAAAAAGGAAAGAAATCTTGCCATTTGCAATAACATGAATACGCCTAGAAGGCATTGCACTGTCCAGACAAATGAAGGCAAATGCCATATAATTTCACTTATATATGGAATCTAAACAAAGCACATAAGCAGAAACATTAGATACAAAGAACACATTGTCATTTCCCAGATAGGAGAGGGTTTGGGTGGGGCTAGGTGAAAAAGTGAAGGGATTCGGAAGTATAAATTGGGAGTTACAGCATAGTTAAGTAGATGTAAAATATAGTGTAGGGAACATGGTCAATAATACTGTAACAATTATGTATGGGGTTAGATGTGTACTAGATTTATTGAGGGTGATCATACTTCATAAGATACATAATAAATGTCTAATCACTGGTTTGTACATCTAAAACTAATATAATATTGTACATCAAACTGCAATTGAAAAATTAAAAAAGAAATGATTTAAAAAAAAGAAAGGAGTCCCTGTGTTCACATCACCAGCTCCAACAATGATCAGAGCTATATGTCTCATCTTTACTTCCTCCACCCACTCAGAATTATTCTGAAGCAAGAGCTAGAGAACCTATCACTTTGCATCCATAAATATTTTAGTATATATTCCTAAGACAAAGAATTCTCAAAAAGAAAATGCTAGAACTATCAAACCTTAAAAAAAAAAAAAAAAGAAAAATGATAATTTCTTAAAATTACCACATTATCTGGTCAGTATTCAAATCTGTCCAATGGTCTCTTGAAAATTTCTAAATGTGTTTAAA